TCACTCCCAATTCCTTATCCTTGGTCCCCCATAACTCCTTCTTGTTCAACAGGCCTTCAGAAGCTATCTTTTCTATGCTTCAAAGCCATCTCAATTTCTGTCTTCCCTCCCTGCTGACATCACTAAGGTTCCACTGTCAGCATGCACCCCATCTCTCTCATTTACTACCGTAGTCTTCTGACATAGCTCATGCTTCCATCTCTTCCCACCTCTAAACCATGCTTTTATTTTTGCTGTTCTCTTTTTCAAACATGAATTTAATTATCCTTTTCCTACAAGTTTTTGATGACTTCCCAAAATCTAAATCTTTAGCAAGACAAGTCTGTGCTCTAGGCCTGTGCCTCTAGGCTATGGTAGCCACTGGCTGCATGTCATTTTTAATGGATAGTTATTAAAATTAAAGAAAAATTCAGTTCCTCAGTTGCCACATTTCACGTGGTCTGGAGTCACATGCATTCAAGCTATCTCAGATGTCACCTCTTCAAAAAAGCCTCTCAACTCCTTGAAATATATAAAATGAGGAGATCTCTGTGCTCCTCTATCTCCAGTTTGGCCTTGTCTTATCGCATTGTCACAGTTTATGGCGATACCTCCTCCATGTACCTGAGCCCTGCTAGCACAGTGAGTGGTTGACTCCAAGTCACCTTTGTGTTCTGGGCCTTTATGGTGTCCGATGCATGGAAAACGCCCATTTATTTCTCTTTCTTTTATGAGTTACCCTTCCTGGGAGGGGAAGCAGGAAGAAACTATAATATGTTCATTTCATAACTTAATATGAAGGCAGAATGTTCCCTCCTTCAGGTTCAAACTCAAGCGGCTCTCTGAGAATGGACCCTGCCTCCCTCTGCTCACCTTCCCTGCCAAGCTCAGACTCAGTTCTTGTCTTTTTGGACCACAGGGAAACAGTCTGGCAAGAGCCACTGTTGTACCAGCTGATTTAAATTGAAATGTTCTCCCCAGATAAATGCGTGCTAAATAATACACCAGCTCTTCAGCCAAAGGGAAGTGACAGGCACTCTGTAAATAAAGGCACTTAGTTGCTGGTAAAGAGCTGTAAAGTGGTTCTGAGCTGATGTTTGCTGACCAGCAAGAAGCAACTTCACCTGCTTTATATAATTGTCACTGCAGTTTTGCCTGCTGTATATTAAAACTGCATCTCATAGACTCAACTGTCACATTGGATATACCATCCAGCTTGGGGTACGCCACCTTTTTCTGTAATTGTTTTTGACAACCAGCCATCACATCTTAGGTCTTTTAAGAAAGTGTCTGGTCCAGAATCCCTAGGCTGGGTCAGTCCTGACACCATGTGGGCTAGAAAAGTGACACCAAAAAGGAATGTGAAAAGAGAGGTTTTGTTAGTCTGGGAGCCCTAATAATACACACAGTGACAGGTGCCCAGTGAAGGCTCTACTTTCTCAATGCTAACACATGTTAAATTGTATCATGTTAGAAAACCTTTCCATAAGTTTGCATGAAATATTCTGGCCCAAGATCACAATATGTGTTCCAAGTCCACATTTCTGCCCAGTTGGGTTCTAGTGAGACAGTAACATAGCTTTCCAGACAAAGCAGAGGATGGGGTTTCATGAAGAACTATAGAATACATAGTGATGAAAGTTGGGGTGGCAGTGGCTGGAAATCTATGTAGCTATCACTCAGAGGAAGTTATATTTGTTTCAGAATGAAGAGTAACATGAAATCTCTTTCGTTCCCTGTAATTTCAATCCCACTGGAGCTCGGTCGTGCCAAATGCCCAGATGAAGGGGTACAAAAATATCTGAGGCCAATGGATACTCCAGTTGGTCAAAAGGGTCTCAAAGGAAAAGCAAAAGAGAAACTCAGCCTGTCTATCTGGCTTCACAGGCTGGGAGGAGCCCAAGGAGTGGGGTGCAGGCTCAGTGGCCAGAGGTGAGCACTGAGAAGAAGTGTCTTTTCCGTGTTGACAGCCATGCTGGACCACTACCTTTGCAAGGTCAGGTTTCACCAGAGGATGGTTTTAGAGACCAAGAGAGAAGTAGACAGGATAAGAAAACAAGGGGGAAAACACAAGGACTTGGTGGGCCTATAACTTTGACACTTTCTCCTTGAGAGCAGAACAGACTGTCGACTGGTGGGAGGCAGATGCACCCACTGCACTGCTAACCAGGAGTCTGAGTCTATGAAAACTGCTACCAAGTATAAAAAAAATTCTCTGCCATCTTCTGCTGTGTGTAAGTCTTAGTCCACTTGGCCGCTATAACAAATACCATCAACTGGGTGCCTAATAGACAACAGTAATTCATTTCTCACAATTTTGGAGGCTTGAAAGTCCAAGATCGTGGCACCATCAAACTCAGCATCTGGTGGGGGCTTTCTCAATGTGTTCTCACATAGTAGAAAGGAGGGCAGGCCTTTCTCCAACTTCTTTTAAAAGAACATTAATCCCATTCACGAGGGGTCTATCCTCATGACCTAATCACCTTCCAAAGACCCTGCCTCCTGATACTATTAACTTGGGGCAGTGGGTAGGAATTCAATATATGCGGTGGGGATCAGGGGACACAAACATTCAGCCCACGGTAGCATGCATGTGTGTGTGCAAAAGAAAGAGTGCCCGTCTTTTTTCTTTGGAGGAAAATGAGCTCCCTTTCTCCTATCTTCATGTCACCTGACAAAACCTATTTTTCTTGTTTATTCCTGTACTAAAAAGAATAAAGAAGGCTTTTGAGCACTGGGAAGTGAAAACATTTTTATGAGTTTGGCCTTTATATAGGATCTGAGAGGCTGGGATAAGGTTTAAGGGAGCTGGAAGGAATAGCCATATCAGGAGCATAAGAAACTACTGAGTTTCTAATCTGTGGCCCTGGAAAATCATGATGACCAAGTTGGGAGGAAAAAAAGCAAGTTGGGGAAAGGGAAGTATCCCTGCCCCCCCCCACCTTACTCTCTACTCAAAGGGACAGTTTCCATCTCTACTCAAAGGGACAGCTGTTGCTTCTACTTCTTTCCTTTCCCCTTGATGGCTCATTCCTCCCCAGGAGAAGATGAGCGTCCATCAGAGTCGGTCAACTTCTGTAGTATGAAGATTTATTGTGCTTCAAAGCAGTGCATGTGAGTCACCTAGGGATCATGTTAGGATACAGATTCTGACCTAGCAGGTCTGGGATGAGCCATGAGATTCTGCATTTTTAACAAGCTCCACTAGGTGATGCCCCTACTAAGGGCAGGGGTAGAGGGGTTGAGGAAGACACACAGTGAAGAGCAAGAGTTTAAAGGCAGGAACCAAATGCCACTCTGCCTCTTTCACCTTCTAGAAGGTCAGCTTACTGTTTTTTTCACATCCTTTCTCACCTGGGCAGGCCAGAAAGGAGGCAGTCTCTGCCTCCTCAGTATGCAGCTGGAAGTAAAAGCTCAGGGCCTCTCTTAGGGCCCTGCATGTTGCTTTCTCCTGTGGGAGAGAGCAGGTGAACACCAAGATTTAGATCTCGGTGTGGTGGGGAGGATGGTGGAGTGGAGAGGTCAGGATTAGACTGCAGGCTGTATCAGGGTTGTGTCAGAAGGACAGAAGCCATTTCACATGCAACACCAAAGTGGAAGGTTCTTTTGAACTTGACCAGGAGCTGCTGTGAATTTCAAGATCCTCAGTGAACCACAACCCCCTCTTCTCAGCCCCCAGCAGTGAGGACACTGGCCTAAAAAGGCCCCTAAGGACTGCTTTGAACCTGACTGTGCTCAGGGTCTGGCTACAGCTGCCTCCAAAGAACCAAGGCCTCTATTTCTCTTCCACTTTCTAAATTTCTCCTTCTCCCACTGGGTAACTCCAGCCCAGAAGCATGCAGGGAAGAGAATTCTAGAAACAATTGTTCCTAGCTTTGCCACAGTGCTGAGTAGATGGTAGAAGGAGGTGGTGGTGGTGCCAGACGAAGATGACAGAGAACACAAATCCAGGCTGCCTGATCCAATGGAGCTTCTAGAAAGCCCTGCATGGGAAAGGGCCAGACACTTTCCCAACTATAAATGAGGTAGTGCTTTCTATCCCAGTACCATATTTTCATAGACTGTACTCCTTCAGCCTTCCATCCTGGACTGATGGGATTCGGGCCCCCATCAAGCAGCCAATGGTAAACCTCCACTAGACCACATATGACAACAACACTACAGTTCATGGCAAACCTACACAGAAGTGTCACTCAGAGGAAAATGCTTAGTATCCTATCCTGCCAGATCCTGATTACGGAGGTCATTTGTTACGGGATTTTGCTGTGCTGACTCTCTGAGAGCTCTAGACAATATCTTTACTTGTAACCACATGCCCAGGATCCCAGAGCAAATGACAGAAAAGATTGGGGGCAGAACAGGAAGGCAGATGTGTGTCATTTAAGCCTGTTGTGTCTGCTGTACAAAAATGTGTGGGCTGACAAGTGTCACCTCTTGCTAAGTGACTTTAAGTGTCTATAGAGTCGCCACTCTCCAGAGATCACCATCCCTCGGTCAGCAAGTCCTAGAGGCAGCTCTAACAAAAGCAAAGCTTAAGACCCCCATCCCAACTCAAGGATAAAAATATATACTGGGAGGAAACATTAGAAATTGTGCAGCCAGCATCTTTTCAGAGCTGACATTTTGCTGATGACACTTTTCATAAAGCCACTGTTTGAGAAAGCTGAGGGGGTGACCATTTAAAGATTGTTTTTTTTTTTTATCCTCTGGAAAGGCAACCTGGCCTGTGTGTAGGTGACCAGGTCTCAAGCTTGTATCCTGGGATGGCAAGAAGAGTCTGTAGATGCCCCTTTGAAAGCCATCACAGCAACCACAGGTTTCACTTCCAGGCAGGCTGATGTGAGCCTCTTTGAATTACTGAGTGAAGGATATCCCTCTTGCCAGCCCCTGTCCCCCGTAGGCACAGCAAAGAAGTATTACAGGCTGTCCTTACCTTGGGAATTAGCCTGCAAGACCCCGATGCTGTCATCAAACTGCATAGATTTGATGTTGAGTGACGCCAAGATGCATTCCTTGTCCTGCAGCGAAGTATCATCAATATTATTCTGATTGGCTGACAGGATAACGCACATGTCACAGAGGTTGATGTTGACAGCCCTTAAATCAGCCCGACTTAATGGCGTACCCTTTGGCATAGAGGAAAGAGAGAGAGAGAGAGAGAAAGGAAGCAAAAGTGAGACAGAGAGAGGAGAGGGAACGAGAAAAAAAAACACAAATTAAAGATTGAGTTGGAGCTTTGGGAAATTATTTAACAAGTATCTTTTTTATGCCTTGACATTAAGCTGGCCTAACTGCATTCAAGGGAATAGGAGCTGTGTGCTAATCTAAAGGGTAGTCAGTGCTGATGGCAGCATTTTAGGCTTGCTCTCAATACTCAATCAAGCCATTACTAACAAACACGGGAGACGAATAATGCTAGGGTTCTACATCTTTTTCCTGCCTGAAAATTGTCTTGATTTAAGTAACTGTCCTGTGGCAACCTCTGGCTTTCCGAAAGTAACAAGGGGGTGGGTTTCAAATGCCTGTTTATTTAATAGCAGGTCACTTCTGTCTCAAGCAAAAGACGGCAGCTCTGATGCAGCCAAGGGGAAATGACTCGTGAGCATGGAGGGGTGAGGTGAGGCTGGAAGCTCTGCTTAGTGAGGGGACTCTGGAAAAGGGTAGCATTAATGTGGGTCTTGCAAAGAGGAGATGGAAACAAGTTAAACTTCAGGTCATATCATTTTATTGCATTTTTTCAGCAAGAAAAAAAAATAAAGAAATGACCTAATTGCCTGACAACATAGGAATGGTTAAATATACTTTGAGGCATGTCATCAATGGAAAGATGGGCAGCAGGCAAAGAGACTGAGCTAGCTCTCCACGTAGGCATCAGCTTGGAAGGATCTCTCAGTATAGGGGGAAGTGAAAAAAAAGTTCTAGAGTAATTTTAAAAGCATAGTTTCATTTATGTTAAAAAAAACACAAAATAAAACTGTATATTTATAAATGTATCTAAATTCAGAGAGAAAATACAGAAAAAATGCTCACTAAACTAAAAACAGTAATTATCTCTGGGGAGAGAAATAGGATTGAGGGATAAAGGGGGAAGTTTGCTTTTGACTTTATATACATCTGTATCGTTTGAATATTTTATAAAAAGAACATATTTGTATATTACTGGTACAATTAAAAATAAATAAGCCTGTAAATAGATTTTTTTAAACATTAAAACAACAACCACAAAAGAAGTGGAAAAAAACTAGATGCAAGAAGTAATGATATACAGTCCCAGAATATAACCATAGGTAAAATAGAAGGGTTAGTGTTGAAGGGTGGGGCCATGATCTCCACATGCTCTGTGTCCCCAGGAGGAGCCACAGCAAAACTAATCAGGCCATCCCATGTCATAGCTCCCCAGTGGCCGTGCAGCATCATTTTGGGGCTACTAGCTTCAATGGTCCTCAAGCCTGAATCTAGCTTCTGTCTTGCCTTCATGGAGACTCGAGATGCCTTGAACGCACTGACTATGTAGGATGAGACTTTGACAACCACCTTATATCCCAGGATGTCTTTCACTTATCCCTCTTTCTGGAGAAGTGACTCTGAGAGGATGGGACTTGGCTGCAGAGATGGAGCCCAGCAACCCTCTCCACGTGCATTCATTATATGGACCTATTGTATTATGGTGGGGATTTGGGTCGCAGGTGGTCCATTCTCCAGATAGTGAACATTATACCCTGTAGACTCAGTGACAGTCATGAATCTATTCTCAGTCCCCAAAATATCACTGCAAAGTAAAACTATGGAGGAAGGGGCATTTAGCACTGTGGGTGCTGCTGGGACGCTGCTGGTTCCAAACTCTGGAGAAGTGTCTTTTGAGAGAAGGAAAAAATGGTCTCTTGTCTTGTGATCTCTTGATACAAAATGTCTGACCAACTTCCTGAATCATTTTGCCAATGCATAAGCTTCAATTGCCTGCATCCATATTCTTTCAATTTTCACCTTGTAGGAAAGCCAGCAGTAATTGTGATATAAGGCAATCCCTGTACAGTTGTATGCACATGATTTCAAACCACAAGAAATACAAATGACATGCATAGAAACCTCTTGTGTTTCTCTTGGCTGGCTCTATATGTAGGGTACTCTTTAAACAATGAACTGTGTGAAGACATAGGTGAAGACCCATTTTGTAAAAATCTGTTGTGCTTAAGTATACTAAATTTTGGAGGGTTTGAAAAGAATCTTCAAATATGAGATCCCATTCATATATATGAAGGTGATTGAGCGAACGTGTACAAAAGCATGCAGAAGGAAAAAACATACACATGTACATACAATGTGTACATACAAATATTAAGCATCACATGCACGCCCAACACTCTCCATACACACACACACACACACACACACACACACACACACTCAGGTAGCCTAGCAAAATCATAAGACACTTTTAGAGGTCAAGGACCATGTGAAAGAGCACACACTGGAAGAAAATCATGGAAATACATAATCAGATTTACCATATTTCTGAAATTAGCAAAGTGTCATGTATGTGTATGCTCTTCTCTGTGTATGACTATGTGTTTCTCTATAGTTGACTATTCTCAAGTACATGTGTTCACTAAGGCAGTGGGTTTTGGGCTCTACATTCAAAAGACATCTGTCTGATATTTTTCTCACTCCTTTAAATACTTATTGAGCCCCTATTGAGCCAGACCTTATGTAAAGACAAATGGCGGCTACTAATGAGTAATAAGTACTACTTGTGGTTAGATCCTTATGTGTTCTTTAATGATTTATGTCATTTGACTTCTTCCCTCCCCCCCATTTCTGAGTTCCTAGAGCCAAAAATAAAAATAATAGATTTTAGTTCCTTAAGTGGGGGAAAATCCAGACCTTTTGACATTTAGAGAAATCCATATTCCTCAGTTTTAGGGACTTATAAGAAATATGTTTGGAGGATAAGTGATATTTGTGACACAGAGAGTTATATCAATGCTGAAATATACACCACTCTAGCATTTTTTAAAGTTTGTGGAAAATACATTGATTATGATTAGGGAGTAGTTACATGACTCTTAAATCATGTATCCCATATCTTCACATTAAGTTGTGGAGTTTGAAACTGTTACTTTTAGATTGGGGTCCTAGTGTTTTGCAATCAAGAATGTCATACACACACACACACACACACACACACACACACAACCATGAAAACGTTGCTGGGCTTCTAAATGAATAGGGTTTAGAGGGTGGCTGCAGTTGGGGTTGGCCTTCTGTAGAGTAGAAATAAAGAATTCGATTGTTTATATTTATTTAGTTAAAAATGGAATGTGGTACATATCAAGGTTTCTCCAAGTATTTTCAGTGCCATAAGTAAATGCTATAAATATTTTTGTAAGTCAGTTCTTGCTATAAGCATCACAGTACTGCAATGCTCCAGGTTTTATGTAGACAGGAGCAAGAGAGTATTTAGACACTGATATGGTTAATACATTTGATGCAAGTTAAACTTCATCCCTGATAAGGGACTGAACTTGGCTGCAAATTCCTTTTAATAAGGTCTCCCAGGGTTTGGATTTTCCTAGACAGAGCATAGGGGAAGTGCTGAGTCCTCAGGCCCATACCCAGATGAAGAAGCAGAGGCACAATCAAAGCTACAACTATTACATCCATCTGGGATTTTCTTTTGTGAATGAAAAGAAGAAGAAAAGGCATCAATAATGTGACCTTGGACTTACAGGCAATATGGACACTTTTGGGAAGTTATGCAGCGTCTCCCATTCCCGCTTGAGGTACTCAATTGAGCCCACAAACACAATGTGCTTGAGTTCGTGGTAATGAAAGTTGCTGGCACGCAGGGGCATCACCAGGTTCCGAAGGCCAATCAGGGCTGAGCTGACATCGCCAAAGATGCAGACCACAACATGGCCACTCAGCACGGTCATGGCAGCTTCACTTCGAGTCTGCAATAGGGAAAGGTATGTGAGTGTTGGAGACAAGACCTCACAGGGCTGTTGTAAGGAATGAAAAAGCCATTTGTGCAAAGAACTAAGTAAACATTTGCTGAGTACTTGCTATGTGCTATTGTTTTTATTTCATCACTGTTATCTATATGCCATATAGATCTGTAACTTTAGTATGAGTTTATGTGTTATACTTATGTAATAAATCTATCTAAACATATATCCACACATATTGCTACCTTCTTTGACAAAAGATTTAAGAAAGATATGCCATAGATATATGTGAGTAGATCTTTCATAGTGATTTGAGAGTTGGAGGGCAAAGAGATAAAAGGGAAAAGAAAGTCTTAATTTTTATAAAATTGTTGATAAAAAATGAGCTGCCTTTTCTGGCTCTCTTGCTGAGATAACAAAAAGGCCAGATTCCCGTGTTGGGCTCAGCTTGAGAAATTTGAGTTTGGAGTTCTAGATTTATCAGTGAGATGTCAATATCTCACCGCGCCAGCAGGTGGAACATGCTACTCAAAAACAAAGGTTGCAAACTATGTCCCATGGGCTAAATCTGGCCCACCATGTGCTTTTGTACACCCAACAAGCTAAAAATGACTTCTATGCTTCAAAATGATTGAAAAGAAATCAAAATAATATTTCATGATAGGTGAATATGATAAGAAATTCAAGTTCCCATAAAGTTTTATTGGCACTCTCTCAAGCTCATAATTTTATGTATTGCCCATGGCTACTTTTATGCTACACCAGCAGAGCTGATCAGTTGCAACAGAGATCATAGGTCCCTCATGATATTCATATGACCTTTTCCAGGAAAAGTTTGCTGACCCCTGTCCAACGCTGCTTTGTGGTTCCCAAGGACATTCTTGGAGGGGTTCACTTAGTATATGTCACTCAGTGAAAGACCAATGCCCCCAAATAATTATTAAAATGTGCTAGGGATAGATCAGTAAGAGCAACAGGTCAATATCTTCTTAAAACTCCAGACCTGTATATTCAAAGGAGACAAATAAAAGAACATAATCACCCCATTTAGAGGAGAACCCCAACTTCCCAGGAAATACAAATAGTTAGCTGTGTTGGCCCTTTCCTTTGGCTCACAGTGGTAGTGAAGAGGACAATGCAAGGAGGCCATCTGTGAGCCTGTCTCTGCCTCTTCTTCTGGTCTGGTGCCTCCCATCTCTGCCTACCCACTGCATGCCTGGATGGCCCCATGTGGCTTACAATGCTTTAAGGGAGGCATATTTATGTCCACTGCACATATCAAACTCTGCTTGATTTAATCCCTGGAATTGACCAGTGCATTGATTGTTTAAATGCCAATATTGCAATTCATGACAATGTCAGGGTTATTACAGTAACCCCCAAGGAGAGGCGGAAGCTAACTTTCACTCCCTGATCGTTAGAATAAAGCAGGGGCTGTCACCATTATTGGTTTCCCTCTGTAACAGTCCAGGGAAACCTGAGATACAGGCTGTAAGAAATGCCTTATAAACTGTGACCAAGGAGGACTCACTGGGGAGCTCACATCACATCTCACCACTTTCTGGAGAAGACCCCGAGTTAGTTACCTGGGCCGCATAGAAGTGTGAGTGCTGGGGTACCACCAGCAGAGAGTCAACCACTCTAATGTGCTGTGATGGGGCTCCTAGTTATTTTTAATTGGCCAGGTCACCTGGAAGGCTAGCTCCCTTCATGAAGCCAGAGGCATACAAACTGGTTCCAGGGTGGAAGCTGGAATTCTAGAATGAGGAGGTGGGGAAGGCACCAGTAAGCAGAGTGGTCAAGGCATAAGTGCTGACACTGGGAGCTTAGAGCTGGGGCTCAAAACATCTATCCTCAGATGCCACTGCAGCATCACCTGGAGAACCCTGCAAAACATTAATTCCTGAGCCTCAGCCCTGGAAAGATTGATTCTTCCAGGTTTATGACCCACTAGAGAAACTACTCATGTGTTTCTCTTTCCATCTTGTGTTTGCTATGCATCCTTCAAGGTCTAACCCAAGCTTGGCTGTATAGCCTTAAACCTCTTCCAAGTGCAGTCTGTATGTGATGGGACTTTGCTGGCCACTTACACACATGCTAGCCTTTCTCCCCTAGATGTGAATAGCATTCTGTCTCTTATCACTGAGTTTTAAACATACTGTTTCATGGTTATAGTTTACAGCTTCTTTCTAATTATATGGCGATTTGCTCACAACTGGGAACATTTCTGTATTTGATTCCCAAAGCAGTGAGTGTCCTGTGCCAAGTGGGTATACACAACCCCAAAGCATCTTCATGTAGTTGGCCCTTTCTGTCATTCTCATCTCCAGTCCAGTGTTACTTTAGAGAGTGCTTCTTGGATCACACTGTCTGAACAGCACCTTCCAGTCTTTCATGTCCATGACCCTGCTTTATTTACCTTTTCATAGCACCTTATAATATCTAAAATGTTATCATGTGCCCATTTATCTACCAGGAGATATTCTTGTTCCCTACTGAAACACAAGTTCAATGACAGCAGTAGTTGGGGGTTTTATCTCCAGCAACAAGAACATTTTGTAGCACATAGTAGCCCCTTATAAATGTTTTCTTAAGTGATGTTATTTTCCAGATATGAGAGATAGTAACTCACCTTCCTGAACTTTTTCATGCTGGCAGGAAAAGTTGATCAGATGTCAGCTGACAAGTATACCCCAGGAATATCTATCTAGATAAGTTATTAAAATCCTGACACTCAGATAGGGTAACCCACCTATGATCTGCCATAGGTGGTCACACCCCAGGTTAAGTTTAGACCACCAGAGCAAAAGTGCCATGAATACAATATCAAAGTGTACATAGCTTTGCAGGTAGAAGGAGAACTTTACAGGTAGAACCATTTGCACTCCTGGTCAGTCGAAATATAGCTGTTTGCTGAGAATTCTAACTTTCTGTGCTTTTGCCTGCAACATTCACACCTCTGAGACAGCATCCAGTGTGATGGCATATTGACTTGTAATGCTTGCTTATAACTAAGTTGCAAAATCACACGGCAATAAAACACAGGGAAAATCTGGTATATTCGAGTACAAAGCCATTCTGAGGACATGGAACATCCTTGTTTAGGAACGGTGGTCCTGACATCAAAAATGATAGGATTTTTCTGGCTCACAGAAAGGAACAGGCTCACAGCAATCTGGGGATTAGAAGCACAGGGGAAAAAGAACCCTTCTGTCTCACTTTCCTGATTATTAATCCATTTTTCATGGATTAGCAAGACAATAAACTGTAGGAAAGCTGATGCAGGCATTAATACGTAAAGCTGTTAATAGGACAAGGGCAGGGAGCAGAATGGATTGTTATCTCTACTGACATTCCTGGGTCAGACTGGGAGAGCCCACTGCTATATAAAGATGTTCACAATCCAGCCATGAAATAGGGCTGGTTAATCATTGTGATCATCAGCAAGTGCATCTACCTGTCTATAACATGTTCTAAGAAGGACCAGAAATATGCATAGCTATTATCTATAAGAATACAAAACATGTTTATAAAAAAAAAAACAATCCAGGCAGCATTTAGATTTCTTCAAGGCATTTAATAATAAGAATAATAAGGTAACTTTACTAAGTCATGTGTTGGGTTTTAATCTTCACCACAACCCTATGAATTAGGGTCATTTTCATCTTGTCTTTTTATAGATAAGAGAATTGAAGTACAAAGACTCAAATGACTTGCCCAGGACCATGGAGCTACTAAGCAGCATAGGCAGGCACTAACCCCAGAGCCATGTCCACAGAAATTATATAAATACTGCCTCCTATAATGCCTTTCACAGAACATATGATCAGTCACTATTGCAATGAGCCAATAAATATTTGGAGATTATAAATTCTGAATATTGTCTCTGTTCTGATCAGAGTTCTAGCTGCTTCTGTCTATGTTCAAATGTTCAATCATCAAATATAATCAGAACCAGGGACTGTATCATCCCATTATCTAGTTAAGAAAACCTCATTCCTAGTAAATGTAGCTGATGATATTGGTTCCATGGTCCCTGACTCACCAGGATAACTTTCTCTATCTCCTTGGGTGCACACCAGTGAAACATCCCAGTAGAGTCATATTTCTTCACGTTGGAGTCCATGTTGTCAATCTGATCATTGCCAGGAATTAACAAGGGGTCGTGCCTGGGGAGAAAAGGACAGGAAAACTTAAGTGGAAAATATGATAAATTATAAATGGAAAGTGCCCCCTGAGTTACATCTCAGAGGAGATGAAAGGTGCAGAGGAAGTGGTTGTCACTGAAGGCCATCCTTCTGCTTGCAAAACCCATCCTTTGAAAGACAACTCTCCCAAACCACCCCCACCCCCATCGGGAAACAGCTGACATTTGTCAGGGAATAATTCTGCCTTTCTCCTGATCCTCTTTTCCTAAATGGTCTTCCTACCATTTTGTGGATTCAGTCTCCCTTTTTATGGTTCCCTCTTCCTCTCATTTTACCAGTGATTCTATCTCCCTAGCACACACATACACACATACACACACCCCCACAGGGTTGCTATTAGCATTGGCAATGAAGAGGAAGGAATAGGAATAGAGCCTCATGCTGACTGACTGGCATGAGGATGGAAAGCCAATTACTTGCTCTTTCTGACTACAACTTCTGACGTGATGCTCTTCGCAGTAAAAGCTTTAACAGGCTGCACTTTAAATATTTTAGCAATTTGCCCAATCAGATTTTGCTCTCCCCGGCTGAAGCCCTTTAAAGATTCAGCAGCATGTCACTTCAGAGCAGATTGACTACCAAATGCCCACATCTGGAATACATGATTTCAATACTAAACAACACCCTCTCTCCTTGCCTTGACAACTGTATTCGTATTACCCATCCAATGATGGTCCCCCTTTACTCCCACCTTCATCTCTCAACTATGGCATTCTTTGGATGAGAGCCTCAAGCTCAAGTGCATCTTAATAAACTTGTCTTAAATTCTCAGGGCGACATTGCCCTCTCTTGCCTTGTTTATAGGAAAAAGAAGATGCTTCCATAAGGGCCTCACCTCCAGTGGAGTGGCACAGCCTCACTGTCAACCTCAGGAATTGCAATAGGATCAGGCAGGTATAACAAATTCACAGCATAACAAATAAACTCCTGCATCTTGGATCATATTCAATGTCCATGATTCTATCTCTGATAGTGATTCAGTACCTCAGTTTCGGGGAAAGTTATTGTTGGTTTCTACAAAATTGACCACGTATAATTAGGACACTATTCCAGACATACTTAGCTATTCTTGCAATAGAGATATCTTTCCTGAATAATACTGTCAACCCAAGACAGAAAATATAAATACGTTCAAATTCCAGAAATTTGTTGTAAAGTGATTTGATCTATTAAATTACCTATTGCAGGCAGCAAAGAGTGACCTTCATTCAGTTTGGGGTTTGTTTTTTTAGGTGGAGTCTCACTCTGTCACCCAGGCTGGAGGACAGTAGCACACTGATGGCCACTGCAGCCTTGACCTGCTGGGCTCAGATAATCCTTCCATCTGAGCCTTTCAAGAACTATAGCCACGTGCCACGACACTGGTTAATTTTTTGACTTATTGTAGAGATGAGATCTCACCAAGTTGCCCAGGCTGGTCTCAAACCTGTGAGCTCAGGCAATCCTCTCACCTTGGTCTCCCAAAGTGCTGGGATTATAGGTGTGAGCCACAGCGCCAGGCTATTTAGTTTTTTAGTATTTCTCCCTCTGACATTCCTCTGACCCTTCTCAATTATATGTCCAAAACACAGAGAATGGGACCACAATCTCTCTTACACGGCCCACAGACCTAAAATTAAATGTTTGAATATATACCATGGCTCTCCCAAGATACTCCTCATTCCCACATAAGATGGGAAAATGCTCTCACTGCATTAATTTATGCCTGGGAATTTGCTTTTGGACTGTACCAAATGACAAATACCATATGAAACAGTCCTGCAAAGTTATCTTCAACAAACATGCTAGATTGCTATAGGAACTGTCATATCTGATCTTAAAAGGAGAAGAACAATCCAACTCAAAATAGCATCTCAGTAGCTAATTGTTAGGGAGGCCTAGAAGTGTTGTAAACCACCAGACTACCTTTCAAATACCAAACTCGGTCAAAGATGTAAAATAAAAAAGCAGTTGCTGATAAGAACTGGTCATAGATCCAGGTGAGGACAAATTTTGAGGGATTTTTTTTGTCCTTGAGGAATCTGTAATAGTTCCACAAAGATCCAATATTATCTGGAATAGGTAGGTAGACAGAAGCCACCATAGAGAAGAGGGTAAAGAAAATAAAAAAAACAAACAAAAAACTCATTCCAGTCCTTGAAGAACATATTTAAGTTGCAACAGGAACTCAATGGAAAGCTAATAAACTTTTCCCAAAGATATAGAGCCAGGTTCAAATTCTCTTGCCCTGTCTACTGGTTGGAAAGAAAGTAGTTATCATAGGAAGATCTAAGATCTGACCCCAGTGCATTTAAAAGATACCCAAGACTATGCTCATATAATCTCAGCAAGCAAGCAAATGATACAGCAAGCTGGGGGGAAAAATTCCTTTTAGAAAATATGTGCTTTGGAGAAGAGGAGATACATTTTGATGTGGTACATTTAGTCCTTTCTGGAATAGAATCAGTCCTCGGTAAGAGTGGCCTACAATTTTCATCTTAGAAAAGTAAATAAGCAAGCCTGATGATCAGTCACCTCTCAGGGAAAATAAAAAGACAGCTAAGGCCAAGCTTTCTTAACTGGGGCGGTGCTTGGAGAAACCAGGTATAATCTGACACTAAGACTACAGCCATGATTTGTATTGGCACATCCAGAAGCATCCAGGAAGTCTCAGAGGTATGCCATACTACACACTACTCCCCAAAAATCTCTCATCCTGTCCTGTTGGGTAATTTAAATATAAATCATCCAAGATTTCTTCCTAAGGGTCTGATCTGAGCAACATCAAAACTCTCCCCAAAGAGATTTCCTTTTCTGACCAGTCATGGTACCTGGAATTCTAACTTCAGCTCCTTGAATTAGTAAAGCAACTAGTAAATATGAATCCCCTATTCGAAGCCAGGAATTGAGGATACAGTAATGATTAAGGCAAAGTCCCTCATCAAAGAGAGGAGGGGGAAAATTTTTTAAATCAACAGTTATGGTACATGGTGGTAAGTGTTATAGCAAAGTACGAGGTTGTATGAGAATAACAATTAAAAAGGCTTCACAGCCGGGCTCGGTGGCTCAGCCTGTAATCCTGTGCCTTTGGGAGGCTGAGGTGAGTGGATTGCCTGAGCCCGTGGGTTTGAGACCCGTCTCTCAGTGAGACCTCATCTCTACAATAAATCAAAAAATCAGCCGGGTGTGGTAGCGCATGCCTGTAATTCCGGCTACTTGGAAGGCTGAGGCGGAAGGATCGCCGGAGCCCAGCAGGTCGAGGTTGCGGTGGCCAGGAGCGGCCACTGCACTCCAGTCTGGGCAACAGAGTGAGACTCCGACTCAAAAAAAAAAAGGCTTCACAAAGAAAATAGCATTTGATATGAGCCATGAACAAGAAAGAATCTCAGCATATTTTAATGTTGATTCACTAACGGCCATTAAGATTCACTCAGAGAATTGAAGCCCAAATAAAAAAGGTCAGAATGACACCCCAAACCATAGTTGAGGATGTTGGATATAGTGTTGTCTGACCTAAGGTCTAGAAGACTTAGGTCAGGAATACCAGCTGTCTGCAGATGTATAATGGTGGTCAAACAGAGGTGGTTTCAACAGATTGAGTATGAGTGACTGAGAGTAGACTAGGAATGATGCATGAGATTTAAACAGAACAGAAATCTGTTTCCAACAAGGAATAATGTTATAAAAATTGAGAACTTTAAAGAAATGAATTGTTTTCTAAGGCAATGGGTTCCTATCATTTGAGACATTCCAGAAGAGCTAGGGATAGAGAGATGATTTGGTTATAAAGGTTGGGTTAGCCTAGAAAATCTTTAAGGCTTGAAGCAGTGCAGTGTGCTCTCAGTGGGGGAGAGAAGTAACTAGAAGAATTTTGGAAGTATTGGACCATTGTAGGACACCAAAAGGCCAGAGGGCACTGAGTAGGTGAAGAAAAGTTGTTGGAGCAAAGATGGGAGATAAGCATTGGAAATTGATTATTTTATAGTTCTAGTAAAGGCCAGCCCTAGTTCACATTCACTGGATTCCACAGTATGGGAGAAAGCTTGGAATATGATCTATTCCAGCAACAAGCGAGTCTGTAACGACTTCAGACCAGATAGGATAAATGTTTTCACCATGTTTGCTCCTTCAGCAATTTCCATTATCTTGGACTGACTTATGCTACAGAAAGATCTCTGGCACAGGTGGAGAGTGAAGAGTCACTAGCCTACAAGGGCTTCTGCTTCTAAATTGAGATTTCTAGATCTTATATTACCAGAAGAAAGTAAAAGTACTTGCCACTGAGCACACCAACCAACAATGTTGTGATCCAGAAAGACCCAGGGGAATCTGGAAGTTTGTTGTATGTGGAAAGGTGGATCATGAGAAATCTACCCGAGTAAGGCATCCCAACATCTTAGGTTTATATAATGATAAAGATACCCTCTTCCAAAGGCTCTCTGATAACTTCTCAAAGACTACTTTTTTGGAACCAAGGACAAATATTAGATATTGTCTTCCATATGGTAATGATATTATATATTTCTTCCATTCACAAAGTAATTCATAACTTCCCTAAAATGTACCATCATTAATTCAAGGCTCACTTGTCACTTACAACTTTGTCAATGCAGATGCCTTATTTTGGGGCTGAATTGTATACTCCTCCATCCCAAATTTGATTGTGAAGTCCAAACCCCCAGGACCTCAGGATGTGATCATATTTTTAGATACAATCTTTAAAGAGATAATACAGTTAAAATAAGGTCATTAAAGTAGACCCTAATCTAATATGACTGGTATCATTATAAGAGAAGGAAATTTGGACACAGATACACACAAAGGGAAGACAGAGGGAAAAGACAGAGATCTATAAACCAAGGACAGAGGCCTGGGTCAAATTCTTCCCTCAGGTCCCCAAGAAGGAATTAACCATGCTGAGACTTTGATCTTGGGATTCAAGCCTCCAGAACTGTAAGAAAATGAATTTCTGCTGTTTAAGA